AGGGGGAGAGGGGGAGGAGGGAGGGAGAGAAAGGAGAAGGCGAAGGGGGAGAGCGAGAGACTCCGCGGCGCTGAGCGCGGCGGCCCGGGCAGAACCGGCGCGCGGCTTGCAGAGCGAGCGCTGCGGGAGCGCGTCCCGGGCAGCCCCACGCCCCTGCCTCGCGCGCTGCCCGCGCCATGAAGCACATCCCGGTCCTCGAGGACGGGCCGTGGAAGACTGTGTGCGTGAAGGAGCTGAACGGCCTCAAGAAGCTCAAGCGGAAAGGCAAGGAGCCGGCGCGGCGCGCGAACGGCTATAAAACTTTCCGATTGGACTTGGAAGCGCCCGAGCCCGGCGCCTTGGCCACCAACGGGCTGCGGCACAGGACCCAGCGGCTGCAGCCGGTCCCGGCCCCGGTGCCTGCCCCCGTGGTGCTGGCCGTTCCCCCAGGTGGGGGTACAGACACTGTCGGGGAGCGCGGGGGCTCCCGGGCGCCCGAGGTCTTGGACGCGCGGAAACGCAGCTTAGCCCTGGGCGCAGTGGGGCCGGGACTCCCCACGCCGCCTCCGCCGCCGCCTCCGGCACCCCAGGGCCAGACACCCGGGAGTTCCGAGGCACAGCCTTTCCGGGAACAGAGCCTGCGTCCCCGCATCTTGCTGTGCGCACCGCCCGCGCGCCCGGCGCCGTCCGCGCCCCCTGCGCCTCCCGAGTCCGTGGTGCGCCCAGCGCCCCCCACGCGCCCCGGGGAAAGTTCCTACTCGTCAATTTCACACGTAATTTACAATAACCACCCGGATTCCTCCGCGTCACCTAGGAAACGGCCCGGCGAAGCCACCGCCGCCTCCTCCGAGATCAAAGCCCTGCAGCAGACCCGGAGGCTCCTGGCGAACGCCAGGGAGAGGACGCGGGTGCACACCATCAGCGCAGCCTTCGAGGCGCTCAGGAAGCAGGTACCCACTCTCCGCCGCACACCCGCGCTGCGCCCGGGACGATTGCCGGAGTGGGTGGGTGAGTGGCCGGGGAACTGTAGGCAGAGTAGAGGTGTGTTTAAGGGGCAAGCTGTCCCGCCCGGTCCGACCCTGGGGCCCAGACAAGTTTGGGCAATCCTGGGGCAGTGATTTTTGCCACAGCGTTGGTTTGGATCTTATGCAGAATCGGGGTAAGAGTTCGAGATCTCTGGTCCGGGCACGCCCCCCGCTCCTCCCCCGCCCCCCGGGGTAACCCTGTCTGCGCGTCTGACTGCAGCCCTCATAGTTCACTTTTATGGCAGCGAGTATTTATCTCTGGGAGTCTCTTGGGCACAGTGGGGAGTGGAGAGGTGGAATGTGGGAATCTGTCTCGAGCAGGGGCAGAGGCGGGGTGTAGGGCGCGACCCTTCCTCTCCAGGCATTTGGTGATCAGCGTCTTGGCCCGCTTGTTGATGGTGGCGTGGCCCGGAACGCTGCGGTGGGGCGGTTTTGGGGTTGCCAGAAAGAAAGGGTCTTGCAGTCAGCCCCCAGCTTCCAGCAGGGATGCCCCGTACACTCAGGTTGCTCTGGGCTCTGCACCCCTCCCTCCGGCATCCTTAAAGACCTGGGCTACATGCCCGCGCCCCCTCCCCAGGGGCGGCCTCAGGAACTGGCTGGTGGTAGTCTCCCCAGGAGATTCCTTCCACTCCTGCCCTCCTGCCGGTGGCGAAGCAGGCAGCGCAGCTGAGGGGACCAGCTAGTTGGTAATTCCCTCTGGAGGATCTTCAGAGCCTAGTTCTGGGGTGAGCCGGGGGCTTTTCAGTTTGGGACCGGTGGGGGCTGCCCTCACCAGACAGTGCCCTTGCGGGGTGGTGGAAGAACATTTAACCCAAGCATTACTGATGGTGGGGAGGGGCAGTTTACAGTTCCACTTTATACAAGGTTGGTACTGCCCTGGGGTTCTAGGCTTCTCATTTTCTTAGAGAGCGGAGAAATCTATGAAGAAGGTAGAAAAGGCCCCCCACCCCCGTCCTCACCCCATACAGGGCCTGAAGAGGGGTTGGGGTGGATGTGACTGGTTTGACCAGTGAGTTTTTTTTGCATGCTCTGCAGCTGACTTGCTGTGTGACTCCAGGAAAATTATTCAACCTCTCTGGGTTTTAGCCAACATCAAAACATTTCAGAAAACATGA